ACTGCAAGGGAGTAGGGTGGACAGGACAGCAAGGGAGACACTGTCTACCATGAGGCAGTGGTGAGGAGCTATAGTTACAGGGTGCAGCAAGGGAGTAAGGGAATGTATGGAATTTTCCCTTTTTTGGCAATCTTAGGAACTGTACCTGGTTGTAATCGGTCAGTTAGGGCCTATGGCTATTTTGAGGTGGGTCACTTAATGAGCCTGTTCGCATCACCTCAGTGGTCACTGTGGCCCCTTTTGTCTTGTTCAAGTTTCCATTGCTCAAGACTGTTGCCTAAAAGTGGCCTCTACATCCATGTTATTAAACTTCTGTTTGTTTTTCTCTTGCTAATCTGTCTTTTATTACGGGGTGTGGGGGAGGGGGTCTCTGCCAAGAATCTAGAAGGGTATGAAAGAGGACTTCAGCTGTCTCCGTTTTGACCTCAAACTTTCTAGTTAGGTTCTTCTTTCCAGCTTGTCTCTTGGCTCAGGCGGAAGACCCTTTGGGCAAAGCGTCCCCTGATGAAAACTGAAACTATTCCTCAAGCGATAAGGACCACCCTGAGACAGCAAGCCCCTGCCTGTGACTGACCCCAAGCCCGTGATCCATTTGCCCTTCGCTGCCCACCTGCACGTACCCACCAACCTTTGCCCCACATTTTCCTTATATAAACCTGGATTTATTTTTGGCACTTCAGAGACAGTCTTTGAGATGCTAGTTCACTGTCCTTGGTGTTGGTCTCACTGAAACGTTTCTTTCTTGTTTCACCACCACTTGTTTCTCTGCTTTTGGATTTCATCAGCGGTGTGTGGCTGAACCTGGTCTGTTTGAGACCCCTGCAGCCAGGTACTCTTGCAACCCCTACACCCCAGCTCCAGGCAGAGGGAAAATTACTTTCCTCCCCTACAATGGTCAGAATATGGGGTTTGAAAAATGATTTGAAATATCAAAGGCTTTAGAGAGGTCTTTCAGGGAAATCGATGAAACCCTCAAATGTTTTTGTAAAAATGATCTTCTTTATAACTTTGCCTGAAAGTCAACTGTGAAGAGAGAGCCACACAAACTATCATACCGTTTTTCCAGAACAATTATGCCAAAAGAAAAATCAACAGGTATCACTGATGTTAATTTTAAGAATATATGGCAGTTATATCTTGAAGTTCTAACATACGAGAGTGTATAAGATTATTTTCCTACTATTTAAAACAAATTGGTTCTCTTTTCAGAATGAAATCCTGGTCTAATCTTTTTTCATATATTTAGTGTGACATTTGGTTCCTATTTTGGGTGGATTCCTTTTAAATGGCCCTTTTCAGATACAAATTATCCTTGGATAATGACGTATTCCAGTATTTATGAAACAGTATGATAAGCACGTATAAAGAGATAAGTAAGTGATGAGGGAACAGAAGGCAAGCTGAGGACAAAGCAGAAGCTGACACCCCATCCCCCGCCCCCCACAGATGGGATATGTGTGACATTCCTCAGGCACTCCTGGATGCCCTAAAGCTAAGGAAAGGAAAAACAAATAGTTAACTTATAGAGATCACAATCCTGCAAGACCTGAGTCTCCCTCAGTTTACAAATGTCTTAGGAATTTGTAAGAACAAAGCATTTCTATCAATAACCTAGCTTCCAGAAGGAAATGTAGATACAAAAAACCTGCAGCCCATTGACAGATACTTTAAGTGGGCAGAGTGTATCGTTCCTCCAGGAAGGAACATTGTTAATGCCTTGCTAGAGGGAAAAACAACCTTAACTTGACAATGGCAAGACCTCTGGTATCCTGGGAGTCTTCTTTAACATATGAAAATCCTTTCGAAAACCTCCCTTTTCCTTACCTCCCCCAACCCCATAGTATATAATCAGCCATCCCTCATGACCCCGGTGCAGCAGCTTTTTCTGCCCACGGGTCCTGTCCCCGTGTTTTAATAAAACCACCATTTTGCACCAAAGATGTCTCAAGAATTCTTTCTTGGTCACCGCCTCCAGACCCCACCCCACTGAACCTCACCTATATTCCAAAACCCCATCCGTAAGTACAGACAGAAACGGTAAAATAGTTGAAACTGGAGGATTTTACTGTTGAAATATGCCCTGTGTGTATGTGTCCTGTCGATATTTTACCGTAATACTCTTTTGAGTTAGATGCTCTCAGGGTTCAATCTATAGGGATATGATAATGATAAATGACAATGATGATGACTGGTTTCTGAAGTGGAGATAAATACTCAGCTCATATTTGATGTAGGAAAGACATTATTAGGGTTTGAGGTCGACGGCCAAGAAAGAATTCTTGAGACATCTTTGGTGCAAAAGGTGGTTTTATTAAAGCCCGGGGACAGGACCCGTGGGCAGACAGAGCTGCAATGGGGTCATGAGGAGTGGCCCATTATATACTTTCAAGTTGGGAGGGGGTAAGGGAGAGCGTAAGTCTCTAAGGAATTTTGGAAGCAAGGTTTCCAGGACCTTGAGGGTCTAGCTATTGCTGGGAAAAGGTCATTTATTACTGTCTAATAAAACCTGAGTCACGAGACCCTTCAGATGTATATCGGTGGGTCATATGCTTGGGGGATGATTGCCAACATGTATCTTGGGGGGGTTTAGAGATAAAGGAAGTTTCCAAAGAAATTTTTTATATGTTAAAGTAGACTTATAGCATCCTGGGGGGGGGGGGAGGGGGCGGGCTAGGATTGCCTTTTGCCCTTAGCAAAGTATTAACATTGAGGCAGTTGAGTCCCTAGTTCCTCTGCCTGTTTAAAGGACTTATCACTGGGCTGTAGGTATAAGGAAATTTAATAATTTTTCTTCTGCCTTTGTTTCCCACATCAGTGTTGGCTGTCCAAGATGCTTTGTCTACTGCCTCTGACCTCTGGGTTGATCCCATGCTCTACAGCTGACAGTCCCATGATTCACCTTGGTCCTCCTTCACCTCCATGTTCACCAGATTATTCAGCGTCTTGGGGAATCCAGGCTCCTAAGCCTGTCCTCTCGTTGGGAGAACTGACAAACCAGGGAAAGAGTGGAGTGTGATGAAGTGAATTTGTGTATGAGCACCCACAAAATGGAGGCCACTCCACCCAGCCCACATCACAAATCTAAATGTAAGTCAGCCTGCACTAATGGGAAATACCGGGGTGCCTGGGTGGCTCAATGGGTTAAGTGTCTGCCTTCGGCTCAGATCATGATCCCGGGGTCCTGGGATCGAGCTCCACCACGGGCTCCCTCTTCAGCGGGGAGTCTGCTTCTCCCTCTGCCTCTCCCCCTGCTCATGCTCTCTCTCTCTCTCAAATAAATGGATAAATAAAATCTTTTTTAAAAAGCCCAAAAAACGGAAATACCCTGTCAGGGGAACCTAACCTACACCAGTTACAATCCTCCAGCTCCACTTTAGCTGACCTACCTTACCCTAGAAAATAGGACCTGCTAGCCTGACACAGAAATCTCTGCCGCCTTAGGCAATCAGGCCCTGTTTCCGTGCTGCCCCTTTTAAGGCTCTAAGAAACTTGCTCTTGCCGGAGATCTGTCGGGAACAGGACTCCACCTCTTGTTAAGCGCCGTCCCTCCAATCCATACATTGTTTTCCCTTGAATAAAGGACACCAAACTTGTTACTAAACTGTATTATTTTTGCCATTTGACAAGTGTTTGCTGATAATTCTAGAATGCCCTCTCCGGAAGGGCAGGCCTTTGTATTGACTCCAGTTCTTCCTTTCACCTTTTAAAAGCTTTGATCCTGGGTGATGAATCAGATCTGGAAAGGGATTCTCCAAGGCTGTTACTTTGGTGATAATGATGTGGGAAACAAAGGCAGAAGGAAATGTAGATAAAACTAAATGTCCATATAACCTGCAGCCCATTGACAAATACTGGAGGCAGGCAGAGTATAATGTTCCTCCAGGACTAACCATCTTAATATTAATGCCTTGCTAGAGGGAAAAGCAACCTTAGTTTGACAATAGCAAGTCCTCTTGTATCCAGTGAGTCTTCTTTAGCAGAGAAAATCCTTTTGGAACTTCCCTTATCTTTACTTCCCCCTACCCCAAGGTACATAATCCGTTGCCCCTCACAATCCCTGGGCAGCAGGGGGCAGCACTCTTTCTGCCCACGGATCCTGTCCCCGGGCGTTAAGAAAACCACCATTTTGCACTGAAGACGTCTCAAGAACTCTTTCTTGGCCATCAGCTCTGGATCCCCACCAAAACTTCACCTATATCCAAAAACTACATCAATAATGTTGGCTTGGACAGTCACTTAAAGTGCTGGTGTTCTATTCCTCACAATGAAGGAGAGGTATTAATATACCTCAATATACACTGTGGTCTTGGATTCCAGCGACCGGGAGCAGAGCAGATGCTCCTTTATACACGTCCTGTCGGAGCTACTAAAGTCCAGAGTTGGTAAAACTGACCGAGGGATGTCACATTACTGTCCTAAGCTTTTAGATCCCCATCTTATTCCTTTTTTACTCTCCTGCTGTGAACTCTCTAGAAGTTCTATTCCAGTGGCTATGATGCTTTTGAAGACTGGTGGTTTAAAGGCACAGTCATCTTGTAGTCTGATACTTCCAGCTTCCCTGAGGGCCATAGTACGGAGTCCCATTGCAAAGACTAAACTCACATCTAAGAAAGTATGGGGGGGGGGGGCGCCTGGCTGGCTCCGCCGGTTGAGCATCCGACTCTTGCTTTCCGCTCAGGTCACGAGCTCAGCGTCTGGCTCTGCATTCAGCATGGAGTCAGCTTGGGATTCTCTCCGCGTCCCTCTGCCCCTACCCCCCCCCCCCCGCCTTGCTTTCACTCTCTCTCTCTCTCTCTCGAAATAAACAAATAAAATAATTAAAAAGTATGGAAAACATATATAACTTTACAGAAGCCGCTCAGACTAAGGGGAATATGATTCATAGCACACAGCCACATTTCTAAAAATCACCAGAATCATCCACCTCTGCAGTGTCAACTCATCACAGGGTGACAGCTCTGCAGGCCCCCCCCCCCCCCCGAAACTCTTTAACCGCTTACCTGAAGCTCCCTGGCTCTTCTCTGCCTCAGAGCCTGTTCCTTTCGTGATGGCTTCTTCCTAAGAGCAGCCCCAGGCTTTCTCCACAGAAACGGGCCTAGGCTTTCCTTCTTCCTGAGCACTTCCTTTGCTGCTCCAGGTGGGGGAACAGGACGGCTCTGAAGGCTCATTTCCCTTCATAGTGCCTTAATGTTTGTGTACTCTGAATATCTTGTCTCTGTCAGAATCCCTTAAGGGGGATTCTGTCACTACCTTGAGCAAAAATCCTTCTAAAATGATTTTTTGTCACACGATACTGAAAGTTGTCCTGAGGTTTTGCTCCAAAGCCGGCTCGGCAAATGTTTTCTGTAAAGGACCTGATGGTAAATATGTTTGGCCCTTGCAAATGGTTATAAGGTCCCTTGGCACCCACTCAACTCCGCCATTGTAGCAGGAAAGGAGCCACAGGCGATATGTAAGTGAAGGGTGGCTCCGTGCCAATAAAACTTTCTTTGCAAAAACAATGCTTCTCGATGATGGCGCTGCATCAGTATCACGTGAGGAGCTTTTAAAATCTCTGGCGCCCAGGCCACAGCCCAGGCCAATTAAATTAGGATCGCTGGGGGTGGGACCCAAACTACAGTATGTCCCAATTCCTCCGGTGAGTCCAATGCGCAGCCAAGGTTGAAAACACCTGCCCTAATAGCCCCCAGGAGTAAGCCAGCTGGAAATCGATCAGTCCAAATCCTAACCTGGAGCATCCTGACTCATCCGGTCCTGCGTAGGTTGCAGGTGTGCCTAGTTAAGGACCTCCTCACATCTTGAGGGGTCCAGGCGGGGTCTCCTGTGAGCAGCCCCCTCACTTTACCCCAGTGTGCCCTAAATGTGTGCTCATTTTCCATTTGTGCTTTGACACGAAAAGTTGGGAAGCAATGACTTAGGAAATAAGCAGCCACGAATACAAACGCTCTGTTAAAGTTACTGAAATTCCTTGCACAGGAATACGTGGAGCATTTTTTTGGATAAAGCTATATTTAACTATTCACTCTCTTTTAAACTGAGAAATATCAAATGCATTCAGCTGACACTTTCTCTTGGTCGTACATGCTACATTTAAAACTGTGATTTTAACAGGGTTGTCTCTCTCTAGTGAGATTAAAAGGAACTTTGTATTTTCTGCAAGTAAATCAGAAATTCATTCCTGAGTCCGCGGCTGTGCTTCTTTTAAAATCTCCCAGAGTACGTCAGCCAGTGGAGGACTAGATTAGACTAATACTTCCCTATTTTAATTGGAACCCAGTTCAAGTAGATGAAAACGCCATTTTAAGTCATTCTAAAGTCCAGTTGTCCATGACCATTTTACTTGAAGTACATCAATTTCTAGAGGCAAATTGTCCGTGGCTAGGACTCCATTGTACTTGATTTACTGCTTCCCTGCTGTCATTTAAGAAAACCCTGCAGGAGGCCTCGATGGAAACAAATCAGGAGACAAATCAGCAGCTTTTTCCTTCCTTGGCAAGACTTGGACTGTCGTGTACTTTCAAGTGTCTTCAAAACATCGACCTAACAAGAAAGCACTTCACTCAGATTTCAGAGCTAGTGAAGACACTTCAGCCAGTACTGAGCTAGGATTATGAGGATCAAGGAAACGGTAAACCCCAGTGCACATCCTTTTCTCCCTCCTTTTGCTCCTCAAGGAGCACATGTTGGCACAGGGATGTTGGGTTGAGTCTCTGCAAAGCCAGCCCCTTGCCTCAGGTATGTCTCCCGAGTAGCTCAGGCTACATACCGTCCCAAGGCCCCACTGGCTTGATTCCAAAAAGGTTATACGAGTTTGTTGCAGCAGGCTCAAGGGCTAGTAAGGATCCTTGGAGAGAAGAGAACAAGTAAAAGGTCTTTTTGACATCTCCAGAGCTTCTTTGGAGAATTTCTCATGTGGGCAATGACTCAAGGTGGTCCTCTCCAAATTTTCAGTTCTTTCCGTGGCAGCTCTTAGGAGGAATGTAAAAACAGTGACCTGTTTGGAGGGTTAGCAGGGCCTCCAAGCTAGGGTAGCAAAGAAATTAATATTATCATGAGAAAACATTATTGGTATACATAAAAACGGAGGGAGGGGATCTGATGGAGACTGGGGAAGGAGATAAAGCCCCCTCACTTGTTAGCAACCTCTACCCCCTCCCTTTGCAATAACATTGCTATTGAGTTCTTTGGATTCCCAACCTGAGTGATCTTGTGTAGGCCTAGAATCAGGCTGGGAATTTTGCAGTGGTGAGCTCTGACTTGAGTGAAGAATTGAAGAGTAATGGGAGTAGGAAAAAAAGTATACTGCAGTGGGTAACAGGTTCCATTAGTGTCTCTACCCAGACTTTTCTAGAAGACCCACTTTCTTTTCTTTGCTTAGTCAGGCCCATCTTCCCTACTAATTTCTGTCTTTACCATAAAGCATTCCACAACTATCTCAGGCCTTAGTAATTGGCTCTCTTTAGGCTTTCATATTCATTTCTGAACTGAAAACAGTTACTCTACTTAGAGAAGTGAAGACTCTGACTCATATATCCTCATTTTCCCCCTGGGCCAACCCCTGAGACACCTTTGTGAAACCCCCAAGGCTCCAAAATAAAGACAAAAACCAAATTTGGAAATCATTTGCCTCTACCATTTTCCTGGCATGTAACACAGGATACCTTGTGTTGTGTTTTATCTATGGATTTTCTGTATTACAAAAGTAATATATATTCATTATAAAAATTTGGAAGAGGGGTGCCTGGGTGGCTCAGTCGGTTAAGCATCTGACTCTTGATTTTGGTTCAGGCCATGATCTCAGGGTTGTGAGTTCGAGCCCCACATCAGGCTCCACACTGGGCATGAAGCCTGCTTATGATTCTCTCTCTCCCTCTGCCCCTCCCCTGTGCATGCATGTGTGCTCTCTCTCTTTCTCTTAAAAAAAAAAAAAAGGAAGATACAGATATACAAAAAGAAAAAAATAAAAGTCAGTGTAATCCTCAGACTCTGAGATGAACACTAACAACATTTTGGACTTTGTCATTTCGATCATTAATCATCAATCTGTATGAGTATCTAGGCTCATATTGTACACACTGATTTAAAACTAGCCTTTGGAGCGCCTGGGTGGTTCAGTCCATTAAGCATCTGCCTTTAGTTCAGGTCATGACCCCAGGTCCTGCTCAGTGGTGAGCCTGCTTCTCCCTCTCCCTCCCCCAACTCGTTCTCTCTCTCTCTCTCTTGCTCACTCTCTCAAATAAATAAAATAAAATCTTAAAAAAAACCCAACTAGCCTTTTTTTAACCTAACAATTCAATATGAATAATTTCCATGTCACTCTTTTTATCAGAGATTATTTTTTCATCTTTAACAGCTTTATTGAGATATAATTGACATACAATAAACCACACATATTTGTTTATTTATTTATTTATTTATTTAAACCACACATAATTAAAGGGTATATTGTGGTAGATTTTAATATATGTATACACCCATGAAGCCATTACTGCAATCAAGATAATAAATCCCCAAAATTTCATAGTGCCCCTTTGTAATCCCATTTCCCCCTTTCTATACCCTTCCCTTGCTCCCAGGCAACTACTGGTCTGTTTTCTGTTATTATAGATTAGTTTGCATTTTCTAGAATTTTCTATAAATAAACTCATACACTGTATACTCTTTTGTCTGGGTTCTTCCACCTAGCATACTTATTTTGAGGTTCATGTTGTGTGTATAGTTAAATTAATAGTTAATCAAGCAATACTATTGCCGAATAGTATTCTATTATATGGATATATCACAATTTGTTTATTTACACATGTGCGAATGGACATTTGGATTGTTCCGATATGGGGCTATAACAAATCTGCTATGAGCATGCATGTACAAGTCTTTGTATGGTCATATGTTTTCTTGTTCCTTGGGTCCAAGGTAATTTTAATCACTGCATGATATTCCATTGTGTGAATGTATCATAGTTAATTTAACCCCTATCTTTGATGTTTAGATTGACTTTTTTTTTTAAGATTTTTTATTTATTTATTTGAGAGAATGAGAGAACAAGCAGTGGGGAGGGGCAGAGGGAAAGAGAGAGAGAGAGAGAGGGGCAGACTCCCTGCTGAGCAGGAAGCCCGATGTGGGGCTTGATCCCAGGACCCAGAGATCATGACCTGAGCTGAAGGCAGACGCTTAACCGACTGAGCCACCCAGGCACCCCTAAATTGACTTTTGATTTGAATTCCCTGAAAGCAAGTTCTGAAACAAGGATTTGGGTTCAGGTAATTTATTTGAGAGATGATCCCAGGAAATAGAAGAGAAGGGGGACAGAGAGTGAATTAGGGAAAGGAGCAAAGCTAAAAAGGTGTGTTAGTGAGCTGTTGATCACTGTGGGCAACTGAAGCTCAATCCCATGGGGTCCTTCTTAGGAATCATGTAGAACAGTTCCCCAAATGGTTTCACTGGAGGAAGAAATTGAAGCATTCATACTCTATCTCTTTCTCCCATTGGTGGAGGGTGGTTTCCTGGAAATATTAACTATCCCTCAGTTCTTTGCTATGTCTGATAGAATGGCCTTCTTATGGCATCCAAGAAAGTCCTGAAGCAGAAAAGCCCTGAACCACCAACGTGAGCCTGGGGTGGGAGGTTGGGACGGTGCATGGAACTGTCCACCACAGGTGTGCTAAGAGCAAGGGTCTGAGGAGGGTGGCATGGAGCATACATGTGTCTGCTTCAGTGGTTTCTTCTCTTGCTGTTACACAGCATCAAACATCTTTGCACTTACACTTTGACGTATGCCCTTGATCATTTCCTTGAGATAAGTCCATAGATACAGAGTTGTGAGATCCAAGGGGATGTACATTTGAAAGGTATGATCTTGGTCACCACATTACTCCCTGCAAAGGCCTCAGTTTACTCTCACAGGTTATTCATCAGATGTGGGGTTTGGAAATGAGCGCATTTACAGCACAAAGATTTGTTCATGGTTGATGGGACTTCAGGTCTCCAAAAAGTAGACTGACACTAATTCTTGAGTCATTTTTCCCAGTCAACCCCTTGCACTGTGACTTCAGGATTTGCTAGGTGATTGCCACTTTGGTATTCACAAGTACTGGGCCCTGGGCAGTGTCTTCCTCAAGACACTGGTTTGGTGTTGGGTCCATACTTGTCCCTGCACCTGACCTCTGTCCTCTATGTCTCTGGCATAACTCCTTGTGCTTTACCTGACAGCCTGTCTTGATTGAAGCCTACCATGCGGTCAGGATGTATAGGACTCTTTGACTGAACTCAAGCCAGTTGGTTATAGACTCACTTATGTCTGGTGTGGCTCAAGAGGCTGCCTCAAGACCCTAAGTCTTAATTAAGACACGTGGGAAGAGTTTTTGTTTTTTTGGGTTTTTTTTAGTAGAGAGAGAGAGAGATAGTTGCTGGCATTTCATTTTGGACACAGAACATGATTGCATATCCCAGGC